GACCTCTCTGAGCCTCCGCCTCGCTGGATGTTTAAGTTGGGTGCGGGAGTGGTGTTCAAATGTAATCCCATAATTCACACGCAATTTTTTTTCCCCCTTGCAAGGCTGTAAGTTACAGATTCTCTCTGTCCCTTTCAGCTTCAGCACGGTCAAAGTTCTACGTGCGGGACCCGCCGGATGACAACAAGGCTAACTGGCTGAAAGTTGGGCTGACCTTGGGCACCACCGTCTTCCTTTGGTTCTATGTGAGTGTTTGCTGCGAACCCGCGGGGGGCGAGATGGTTGCTGTGGCTGTTACTGTGGTACCGTAGCATTTCTTCATAAAGGGACATCCCAGAGAGGACTAAGAAAATTAAGATTTCAGAGGTACTGAAAAACTGATGAAGTTGAAATTTCTTTTATTGGTGCTTAGCATAATTTTGTGAGAGTCAGTACTTTCACTCCTGCATTTATTGATGAGTATTGAAGCTCTTGGGGTGTTTATGAAGGCCTCACAAGGACAAACCAGTTGTACAAATTCGATGTTGGGCCCCGGAAACATAGGCTTTTAATGTTTTAATACATTGTTGGAAATTACATTTAGCGCATACTAGCCTGTTGCTGTTATCCTTATGTCAGATGCTTTCCACGTGAACTTAAATCATTGGAACATTATGATGTGGTCCATACTGTTATTGTGGGCCCTTTACAAATGGATAAATGTGAAAACATTAGTTTGCAGAACCCAGGTCCCCTGACTTCAGAGACCACTGTGAAATATTGCTTTTCTAAAGAGAAAATTATTGTTGAAAGATGACTAAAAGCATCTGCTTTATTAGTATTTTGAACTTTTGTTTCACATATGATGTCTTTGGGACTGCCCTCTGCCTCCAGCCCCCTTATTTCGGATTTTCTCTTTAAAGTCGGTCAGGGGCAGGGATTTAGCACAGTGACACCATGCCTGCCTTACAAACACAAGGTCCTGAATTTGATCCCGGGTACCAGAAAAGCAAAACTAAAGTTGGTCAGATCTTTGACATGGAAAGGTGAAGAGATGCTGCACATCACTTACAATTTAACAGAAACTACTGCTTTTTAATAGATATTTGTTAGAATTAAAACGTAAGGGCCCGGGATTTAGTTCAGTGGTGCTGCCACCAGCCTCACAAGCGCAATGACCTGAGTTCGATCCCTGGTACAAAAAAAGAAAAAGAAAATGTACACACAGTTTAAGGGTTTTCCTAAAAAGTTTGATTGCTGTGGAGAGCCCCATTGATTAAAATTGGGACTTTGATTGTCACAACTGTCCTCATGTAAGAGCCATTGTTCCCGTGGCAGTTCTGCCAGACAGTGGTTCTAGGAAAGTAGCTGTCTCTGGCATCCAGTTAATACACAGATAGCTGATGGTTGGGGGTCACTGCAGTATCAGACTTATAAAATTAGGAGTATAACACAGCAGCCAGCCTGAACCCCACTTAATAACCAACTTCTCTTGTGTCCTGTTGGTTTAGTCCCTCTGTGATGAGGCTTTCAATATTTATTACCCACCAAATGAAATCATTTTTTTGACACAAGTTGTATTCTTAATGGTTGCCTTCTAAAATGTACTGTATCAGATTGTAGTTAACACTGTGTTTTGGACTTTTGAATCCCATAGCTTTTTATTTCTAACTAGATTGGTAGTTATTTTCATCTCTCTTGTTCTTCTCGCATAAATATATCCTTACTTAAGTTTAAGTTGCCAGAAAGATTACCTTTCTAATTTTAACTATTAATTTGTAGCTCATCAAAGAACATCATGAAGATGTTTTAGAATATAAAAGAAGAAATGGGTTGGAATAAACTTTGGAAGTACTTATATTGTAAGTATGCAATTTTATAGGGTGATTAGATTTTTGCAAGTTAATTAGATCTCATTTTAAATAGAGTATTTAATACTCAGTACATTTTAGTACCAGATTCCTGTCTTTGACACACCGATGATTGTGGGCGGGGGGTACTAGGGTTCAAACTCAGGACCTTATACTTAAGCATGGTACCAGTGAGCTAAATCCCTGGCCCAGTGATGAATTTTTGATGCCTTGGCTCCAACATTGCTTAGCATTATAATTTTTATCCATCATCTTTGACTGTGTTCAAAGAAAGTTATACTCAAGAATGAAATGAAAATCTTTTTTGTGTTTTTGAGACAGAGTCTCACTATGTAGTTCAGGCTGTTTTTGAACTTGCTGTGTAGCCCAGGCTGGCCTCAGACTTACAGCGATCTCTTGCTTCAGCCCCCAAGTGCTAGGGTCACAGGGGTGCACCATCACACCCAGCTCAAAATCGTTATTTTCTTAAATCTAATAATGCTTGTTTCTCTGGTGTGAGGAACCGAAAGTGGAAATAATGACTATAATGGATGTTGAAAAATGGGAAGGGGAACATGGGAGGAGAAGGGATCAAGGAAGGAAGGGACAAGAAAAGAAGTGAAAATGGAAAAGATGGAAACAAAGCTTCTGTACATAGGAAGGGAAGGGAGTTTGGGAGGAACGGGATAAAATAAACTTTTTTTTGTTTTGTTTTTGGTACCAGGGATTGAACTCTGGCCCTTGCACTTGTGAGGCAGGTGGTGGTGGAACCACTGAGCTAAATCCCCAGCCCTAAAATAAAATTTATTAAAAGATTAAAAAAAATGTTTTAAAGTAAATATTCCAAAAATAAATAAATAAATGGGGAGAAATAGACTCTGCTTCCTGATGGGAAGCTTTGGAAAGCGGCATTGAACATCAGGAATACAGCACGGCAGAGTCAGCCCGCCAGGGGTTCCACATCTGCAGATCCCACCAACCTCAGTTACAAGATCAGATAGCGGGAAAATAAATCTAATAATGCTTTAGTCGTTGCCATCAAAGCACCTATGCCATGTTACCATTATTTGTGTACTTCTTCCTATCTGTTTGGTATACCCCACGCTTAAGTGTGATGTCCATAACAAGGGCAGTTTTTATGGTTACGTACTCAGCAGCTTGCTGGATGCCCACCCAGTCAGGAGTTCAGTATTTGTAAAATGGATGAATGTGTAAGGGCAGTAGATGATTTGTCACCACTACTAACATCCAGTTGAGCGATTCAGAGTGAAACTTACCTGTGAGCAAGATGTCATACTGTGCGATCTGTAATTCGAAACACAAGAGTTAATTTTATATATAGTACATGTATAATGTATGTGTTGTATTCTGAAATGTCTTAAGGAAATCATTTATTAATCTTTTTGTATCCTTTTGAAAAACCCCTCTTAAAAATCTCAACTTTTATGGATTAGGTTGATTGAAGTACATCAGTTATATCTATTGGATAATAAATATAATACACAGTACAGCCCTTGTTTCCCATAACAAACTCAACTCAGCAATTTAGGATGAGGACACCTTGCCCGTTTCTCTACTGCACTCAGCTCATCGATCAAGAGATACAAATAATACAAATAGGTGGCTTTTACTACTTTTTCCTAATTTTGTTAAAACTTGAAGTATTGGGCCAGAGATTTAGCTACCGCCTTCCTCGCAAGCACAAGGACCTGAGTTCGATCCCTGGTACCAAAAAATAAAATAAAATGAAGTATTGATACTCTTTGTGGACTTTTTTTCTATATTTTTCCTAATGCTCCAGAGTAAATTTTTCAGAATAGTCTAATATTGTTTCTGTTTAATGCAATATTTTTTTTCTCATTATAGTGTACTCCTCATATGATTATAACAGATGCTCTGGATTCTCCAAGCTGTTCAGTTGTGCATGTAAGAGAAGTTAAATGTAAATGTATTTCAAACCAGCCGGGTGCGGTGGCGCACGTGGCGCACGCCTATAATCCCAGCACTCTGGGAGGCTGAGGCAAGAGGATCCCTGTGAGTTTGAGACCAGCTTGGGCTACATAGTGAGTTCCAGGTCAGTCTCAACTACATAGTGAGACCCTGTCTCAAAAAACAAAACCAAAAAAAATGTTATCAAGCCAGTTTTGTGTTTTGTATCATTAAATTCAAGAAATAAATACTATGTGTTCCAATAATGCATATTTGTCATTTTGTAAAAACTGTCAATTCTAAGATTCATTATTAGAAGTATTTCGATATGGAAAACACTATCTGATAACAGGGTCAATAGGAAGTTTGTTCTTTATTTTTCAAGATGGGCTCTCTTATATAGCCCAGGCGGGCCTCAAACTAGCAGCAATCCTCTTGCCTCAGCCTCCCGAGTGCTGAACCACTGGCATGCGCCACCACGCCCAGCTGGAAGTCACTTTTGAACATAAATTCCAAGTTACATTATTTCTGAGAAAGATCAGTATTGCTAAGTGACTATTACCTTGTGTCAGCTTGAATTCCTAGCGGCTAGAGCT